AATCATGCTATAAAAGTTTAAAATATAAAAATTACTATCACATCTTTGACACACAAATACTTACAATTTGAGTGACATTGTATTTATCACTATGGTGATGATGAAATATCTCGTTCATTTGCATTTCTTTTTCCATCACATACTTGTGTTCTTCAGTACAAAGTTCCTCATCCAGAGATGGTATAATAATCTTTCAAAATATTAAGTATTTAAAATCTCTATTGTTCTTACAATATTGCTGAAAAGCCTGCTAAAAATTGTCTATAACAGACATAACAAATACTACGTAATATAATGTTTTATTAGAGAATGTAACATATATTATTTTACAACATTACAATATATTCTACAATACGTAAACATATATTGAATATATATACGAGTATATATATCACTAAATTTCTAAAGTAATATTAATGTTGTGTAATACAAGATATTGTAGATTAGTAAAACATAGATATGTTAGGCATTAGAGAGATACAGTGAAACATGAAATAATTACAAAAAAAATACATTTTATTAATATTGTTGAAATGCAATTATAAAAAAATAAAATTCAATTTACAAAAAAAAATAAAAAAATTCAGTATAAAAAGATAATTTCTATAAACTTTACATACATAATTACATATGCATATATGTATATGTGCATATATTTAATATTAAAGTTTTAGAAATTAATTATTTCATACTGAATAAAGTGTGTAAAAAAAACATTCTTTAACAATATTTATATTTGGAGANCAATGAATGTAACTTGTGCTCTGAAATGATTAAAATTAATCTTTCTAAGTAAACTTAAATATTCTAAACATACCTGTGATTTATATTTACGATTTCTAAGAATCATTTCCAAAAAAATACGTTGCGTGTTGTTCATGTTCTTCGTTATGTCCTCCCAATTATTTTTTCGCTGCTGTTTTATTATTTTTTTCAGTTTCTTCACTGCTGCCTTCTTCTTGTTCAGTTGTTTAATGTATCTTCTTTTTATGGCTGTTACTAAAGGATTCCGCTTCATGGATGTAGCGGCCAAACTTTCTTTGTTCTGAACATTATCAGAAGATACATTTTCATTTACATAATTTGAATTTTGATTATTTTGACTATTTTCATTACTATTATCATTATTTGGCAAATTACTGCTTTCATTATTTTCAATATTTTCTACTTCTATATTGTCATTAGTATTATCATTATTATTATCATTATCATCTAAAGGCAAGTTTTTGTTAGGTATAGCATTTTCTATTAAATTTCTCCGAACTCCATAAGATTTTATCATATCTTCTGAAAAATGTTCAGTACAAATTCTTAATTTGGTCATTGCTTCTTTGCATGCANCTGCAACATAAAAAAAACGTTTAGCATATTGTCAAATGATGTAATAATTGAGTACTGTAACATTAAATAATTCTTTATTTGCATACAACTTGCAACAGCACGATATCTTTGTTATTATATGTTAAATAAATAAATGTAATTAAATATTATACTTTTATTATACTCACCAATCATATCGGTTCTTTTAATTATCCTCAACCAGACTTCTGCTTTAGTGGATTCCGATGGAAATCGATGTACTGGAAATTTGCCTGATAATGTACATCCTGGCACACAGCATTTCCACACCATTTTGAACTTCTAATATTTTACACTTTAAATAAAATTTATATATTACCTTATATTATATATAATTCTTAAATCTACTTAAACCTATTTAAAATTAATACTAAATTATATACAAAAAAAATTAAAACAAGTAATCAAGAACAAGTAACCAAGTAATCAAAGATAGAAAAAAACAAAAACAGAAAGAAAAATATTATTTAAAACTAAATGAAAAGATAATAAGATGTTATAATAGGAGTATTAGGATATTATAATAGGATTAATATAGAATTATACTAAAAGGAATATTATTAAATAAAGGAATATTATTAAAATATTTGTTCGATTAAAATCCTTCTTCCTCCTTGCTCGGAAAATTTGTCGCACTGCACACTACACTGTATTATACACAACACAACACTGAACTTTAAATCACTTTTAATAAACAGAAAGCCAAACCGTTGCAAACCGTTTAGCTAGTTGGCTACAATTGTCTACAGTTGCCAACAGTTGAGCACTTGTTCCAACATGGCGGCCGACAGTGCTGCGACCTACGGCTATACCGTCAAACTCGACTTCCGTCGCCAAAAAATAAAAGGAGTTACGATCCCTTGACTTTGTGTCTTACGCATAGACATATAAGAAATAGACTGCGCGTCCCGTATCTTTTCTGTGCAGAAAGAATGGTCAAACTTCGGACGAGGATAGATGCTTTCACCCGAGTCTCTATCCTTGTTTAGTGACGCGGTGATTGGCGGACAAGAAAAGTAGTAGGAATGAGAAATAGCGTAGTGGGGCAATAAAGGAGCATCGAACGATGAAAGGGCGACAGTAGGCGATTGACAGCATAGACATTCTATGGAGTTGTCTTCCGAGTGGGGAGTCCCCACTCCAGGTGCTGAAAGACAGAGACAGAGACTCGGGTGAAAGCATCTGTCTCACTCCGAAGTTTGACTCACTTCCCCTCTCACACGCGCAGTCTATTTCTTATACGTCTAAGGTCTTACGGCTTATTTTGCTGTACTCTCATCTATTCAAAGTTTATACGCTATGGTCAAGAAGCGCAAAACTTAAAAGCGGTGTTTTTAAGAAAGACTCCTTTGACAAATCATAACACTTTTTGATTTCTAACCGGAGTTTTGAAGTGATGTTTTGAACGAGACTTACCGGGTGGTACTCACACAGGTTTGAGGATCTAAAAGACGCGATAAAGCTACTGACCAATCAGATCGTTTCTCGATTTTTTGACCATGTTCCTTAACGTACTTTCGAGAAAGAGTTAGTGGACTCTACTTGCAGACGTTTAGAGAGTCCAGAAATTGCACCAAAACTTTTGACCAATCACACGCGTTTTACTGAACTGGTTGACCAATAAGATTTCTTTTACCTTTTTCAATAATTTAAAACACGAATTTCAAGAGAAGGCTAACTCGGCGTAGTTGCTACGTGCTTTGTCAATTAATACGGCAAGTTTTTGCATTTCAGCCAATCAAGTTGTTTGTCACCAAGCAATCAGCCAATCAAATGTTTTTACTGATTTCGACCGACTTTCTGAACGAATTTTGAAGAAGGCAACAGTTGTCGCGACTTGTAGAAGTCTAGAGACTTAGAATTGACTAGAATTGACAAAAAACTGTCTTGACCAATCATATGATTTTACGGGTTTTTAACCAACTTCTCGCCCGATTTTCAGGAAAAGAATTACGGGAGATGACTTACAAGGACCTGACGAGTCGGAATCCACGATAAAACGACTGACTAATCAGATTGCTTGTTACTAGGAAAACGACCAATCAGATTTTATCATAAGGTAAAACAGCTAAATTTTATTCGTAGGCTAACAAAACGTGTAGTATACGTTAAAAACAGGTATATGAACACAATAAATGCAAAACAACAGTGAAAACGACACTTGCAAAATTGGTAGGTACAAAAACGCGACTCGGAGTAGTAAAGTCTTAAGTTTAGGTGATGACACAGTGGTTTGGACCGTAGTTTAACGTTTTTGCGGACGCTTGAAAATGGGAGATACTACTGACAATACACGGTAATAAAATAAAATAACAAGAGAAAAATAGAGAAAAACAAGACAAATTTAAATCGGGTCAACCGGGGCTCACCATGGCCACGTCTACGGACGTGACAATTGATATTATTTTGCTTGACATTTGCTGCGCAACATCACGTATATCGCACTACAACGTTATCGTCGTTGTACGTTCGTTAACGCTCGCGTTGTCGAACTCATACACGATTTGGAGCGTCCGAGCAAACCCAGTGTAACCAATGAATTCGACAACAAACGCGGGCGTCCACAACGCCAATTAACAATAACCACCGAAAACAACGTTTTATCAAGACGATACGCTGCAATTTGTACGCAAATTGAATCGACGCACGTTGGATTTCCTGTATCGTACGATGTCCAAATGAACGAGTCAATTCCGTTTGCACGCATGCATCACGCGGTCTTTAAACGAAATAATTTTGCGTATACTTGTTGCATGCGCGCTAGCTAAAAGTTTAATAGCAATCTGTCGCGTTGCAAGAATTTCCGACCGCGTCAGACAAGAGTTGCAAATTCGATCGCTCCTTCGCAAACGTGTGGCGCAATAAATCCCAAAACGCTTTATTTAAAATACAAAGCGACAGAGTGCAATGTACTTCTAGATACCCAATTAAATTCGGTTAATATTCATTAATATCGCAAAGGTACGAAACTGCGCAATTGCGGTGTTGCGTCTTAGTGCGCATCACGATACAACAAAACCGTTTACGCCTGCTGAACGGTTGTTCTCTCTTTTTGAACAATCTACTAGAGTTTACCGAGGCGAAGAATAAGAATTTAAATCGGGAATTCAAGGACAACCTGATTGGATTTTACGAGTGCGTGTCCGTGTATACAATTAATAACTGCGGTAACCATATAACGATTAGTAACTGTCAGTCCAATCATTAAATTCCGCCCAAAATTCTCATTCTCCGTCCCGGTAAAGCCCAGTCGGCTGACCGAAAAAAGAGAACGTACGGTCACAAAGTGTAAACGGTTTTATCGGACCGTAACCTTGCGCACTCGGACGTAACAGAAAATAAAGATGGGAGAAATAAAAAGGGGAAAAAATATCTTGGTTTTACGCATGTGCAGACAGCGAATATACTTATTCGTTAAAATCTACAATAATTTTGCGCAAAGAAGTGATTTCCAAAACGCTGACGAATTCCCCATAACAAGACAGTTAATAGACGTTTTGAGAGCTTTTTTGAAACGTGCTTCAATTCGCAAATTACCGTGCCTCACAAGATTTCAATGTTTGACGCAATTGGTCGATAAATCGGAAGTGAGATCAAAAGCACAGACTATGTATCCGCGAGCATAAACATCTTTGCTTACAGCATTGCCTTCGTTTAGAAAATGAATACCCGTTCCTGAGAAAAGAGTATAAAACGCTTGAATGGAAAGAGAAGAAACCCTTGAAAGAAAAGGTTTTACCGGTTTAGTAGGGGCTTGCATTCTATCAAGGTAAAGCGAAAGAAACATTATATTAAAATTTTTTTACTTAAACGGATTAACTGTACTATCGCTAATAAACGCCTTATTTTCGACAAAAGAGATTATCACCAGCTTCGGCAGTTGACCGAGTATGACGTTCTCAATTGATTCTCTCACCACTTCTCTGTGAATCGTAAACAATTTACCTTTAACTCTCGTGAAAAGATACTTTGCAGTAGTTTTGCTCAACAATGTAGCGTGAGCTAATAACACTTTAGCGCTTATGTTTATTTTCCTTATGATCAAGGTAGCGTCTACAATATGAACTTTTGTCTGTAGCGTAAGTTCCATGAGACAGAAAGAATCTTTCGAGCAAATGAGTTTTTAGTCGCGTTTTCACGCCGTTAATCAAGAATTTATCCTGATTAAAAACGTCGCACTGTAGATGTCTTATGAATTTTACAGCACAGATAAAAGATAGAATACAAAAGATATAATAGAGATATAATTATCAAAAAAATGAGAGCTAATTATATCTCTTAAAAAATTTTCTGAATTGAAATTTCAATCTAACTTTAACAGAAAAGGCGATGGCACAGGAAGCCGAAAATTCCAAGTTCGATTCTCGGCCGTAAAGTTTTTTTCGCAATATTTTCAAATTAGTTGTTACGTCCGTAGACGTGGCCATGGTGAGCCCCGGTTGACCCGATTTACATTTTTCTTTTTTTCTCTATTTTTCTCTTTTTATCTTATTTTATTACCGTGTATTATCAGTAGTATCTCCCATTTTCAAGCGACCGCAAAGACGTTAAACTACGGTCCGAACTACTGTGTCAACACCTAAACTTAAGAATTTACTACTCCGAGTCGCGTTTTTGTACCTACCAATTTTGCAAGTGTCGTTTTCGCTGTTGTTTTGCATTCATTGTGTTCATATAACTGCTTTTAACGTATACTACACGATTTGTTAGTTTACAAGTAAAATTTAGCTGTGTTACCCTATGATAAAATCTGATTGGTCGTCTTCCTAGTAACAAGCAATCTGATTGGTCAGTCGTTTTATCGTGGATTCCGACTCATCAGGTCCTTGTAAGTCATCTCCCGTAATTCTTTTGCTAAAAATCGACCAAGAAGTTGGTTAAAAACCCGTAAAATCATCTGATTGGTCAAGACAGTTTTCTGACAATTCTAAATCTTTAGACTCCTACAAGTCGCGACAATTATTGCCTTCTTCAAAATTTGTTCAAGAAGTTGGTCAAAATCAGTAAAAACATTTGATTGGCTGATTGCCTGGTGACAAACAATCTGATTGGCTGAAATGCAAAAACTTGCCGTACTAGTTGACAAAGCACGTAGCAACTACGCCAAGTTAGCTTGTTCGTGAAATTCATGTTATAAACCATTGAAAGAGATAAAAGAAATCTCATTGGTCAACCAGTTTAGTAAAACGCGTTTGATTGGTCAGTAATTTTGTTGCAATTTCTGGACTTTCTGGACGCCTGCAAGTAAGGTCCACTAACTCTTTCGTAAAAGTACGTTCAGGAACATGGTCAAAAGATCGAG